ATTCTATAAAAACTCATTAACATTCTATAAAAACTCATTAACATTCTATAAAAACTCATTAACATTCTATAAAAACTAATAAAGTAAACTTCATAAGCGATAACGATAAGAATTTTACAATCATTGATCATTATTAGCTCAGATGCTAATCTTAAGATTTTGTCTTTTTTGCAGTGTAACAGTACAAACTGGGCAAATTAAAGATTTTAGTTAACATAGAGTATAATTTAGGTCTGGTAGCGTCAACACGTTATCAAAACCTTACATCCTTATTAGTCGATATCGATTCACTACACTAGCATGAGATTCTTTCTACGTACTCAAACAATAAAACATTCTGATTGGACAAAATTGACGATCCTTAATACCGTATCATTTTTACTCAAGTTACACAAATTTACTATTATCGTTCGTTACGTAACTTTACATCAATTTCTACGAATAAATGGATTTACAACAAATTATTTTCTTTTTGCAGCTCTTTGAATAACCTTTCATATTATTATATTTTGCATTCATTTTCTATCAAAATAATTTCAATTGGAGAATAAAGGTTTGCATATGTGAATTGAATTATTACCTTTAATTATAATTATATTTTGTGATTATTATTTCATGTCTAAATAATATGAAGAATATCAAATTATAAGAGAAAATGATATAAACTTACCACAAATATAATAAAAGATTTTCAATATATATCAGTAGGGTCCCAACAGAATTTTGTTTGTGACTGGCTGCTTAATGAATCTAAAACTTCCATTTCCTATTTTAATTCCAAAAAGTAACATAAATAAAAATTATATTATATATATAAATTATATATAATAATAATTAAAAAAAAAAAAAAACAAACCTCATTTGACAACTCAAAATTAAAAATATTTGCATTTTCTTTAATCCTTTCCGCATTAACAGATTTAGGTAAAACAATAAATTCATGTTGATATCCCCATCTAAATAAAATCTGTGCTTCTTTAACATTATTTTTCTTTGCAAATTCTTTAATTGATTGTATTTCAATATCTCCATTAACTAATCTACCTTCTCCTAAACTTGAATAAGCTTGAACTTGAATATTATTTTTTTTACATAAATCAATTAACTCTTTTTGATAATATAATGGATGTAATTCAATTTGTAAAACTTGAGGAATAATTTTACAATATGATAATAAATCTGTTAAATGACGATGAGTATAATTGCTAACTCCAATAGCTCGAATTTTTCCAGAATTATAAAGATCTTCAAGAGCTTTATAACTAGCTTTACGATTTATGGCATGTTTTGGATCTGAAGGTGATAATTTTTGGGTTCTTTATAAAATATATTATTAATGAAAATAAATTTCAAATATATATTAATAACAACTCTGAATATAATCTAATTGATAAAAATTTTACATAAAATAAACGGATTAAAAAAAAAAAAACTAGAATCCGTTTGTTATATGTAGAGTTGAATATTGAGATAAGGATATTTGAAAAAAAAAAAATTTACCCGGGCCAATGAATTAAAAACAAATCAAGGTAATCCATGTTAAACCGTT